AAATATGCAGAACAATATTTAGAATAAGCTGTCTTTGTGCAAGGAAGTGTTGGAGAGCCAGGCTGGGTAGCATACATCTGTAATGCCAGCACTCTTGGTGACTGAGGTAGGAGAATTGAAATCGAAGCCACGCCTGGGGAATTTAGTGATTTAGTGAGACCCTGTCTAAAAATAAAAAATTCCAAAGGTCCTGAGTTCAAATCTCTGTACCACAAAAAGGAGGGTATTGGAGAGAGTGTTTAGCATAACTGTACTGTACAAATATGTATTTGTATAGGTATATGTATGTGTGTATCTGTATGTAAATAAACATATGATGTACATAGATATGTTTTTAAAGAATGGAAGAATAATCCCAAAAGTAATAAAAATGATTATTTTTAGACTAAAGGAGGAATCAAGAACCAAGTGAAAGCTAGATTTCTTTGAATATGCTGCTGTTTGATAATTTCCTGTTTTTCATCATTTGATACAAATGCAAGATGATGTTTAGTGTTCTTATAACACCAACTACCACTTCTCTAAATATAAATATATGACAATTTTTGCCTAATTCAATTTTCAGTGCTTGTTTTGATATGACTATTGACATATTAGTTTTTTACTAAATCAAAAAATAACTATTCTATGTTCATCTAACTTTCGGTCATTCCTTGGAGATATTATTTGCCTTGCTTTTATGTTTTCTTGGTGGTTTTTTTGTACATTTTTTGTTTAAACAGGACTCTCAAAGTTGGTTTAAATAAAGAATTTATGTCATTAATTGACCTTATTTTGATACATGAAGGAATAAAGGAAAATTCTAATGATTTATAGCTACTAAAGCTTCTGCCGTTTTGTTTTGTTTTTTTGAATAGCACACTGTACTGCAGAGTGGTTGGATCAGAACCTAAAAGTTTTTTGTGGAATACTAGGTACCAGTATCTATAGGTCTTTTGTTTTAAAATTTCCCGTGTTCTATATGGAGATACATTCTAACATTCATTGTGCTAGGGACTGGGAATTTAGCTCAGTGGCAAAAGCGCCTGCCTGGCAAGCGCAAGGTCATGAGTTCGGTTCCTGGTACCGGAGAAAAAAACCAAAAAAACCAAAAAAAAAACAAAACAAAACATTCATTGTGCTAAACAACAGAAAGGGATTGGAGGTCTCACTATTCAATATGCAAACATTTGTATAATTCCTATTTTTTTGTTAATATAAAGACCTTTTCTTTGCATGTGCAGTACTTGTTTTTAAGTCTAGATCATCTTTGTTTCATTTTCTCTGGAACATATTTTCTTTTTCTTGCTTGGATTTGTATACACATGGCCACTTCCTGTGTAAATTGGGAAGTAATAGCGTCTTGGTCAAGATCCAGTTGTAGAGATAAGAATATATTAACTGCTGGGCTGGGGATTTAGCTCAGTGGCACAGCACCTGCCTGGCAAGCGTAAGATCATGAGTTTGATTTCCAGTACTGGAAAAAAACAAACAAACAAAAAAAAAAAAAACAAAAAAAGAATATATTAACTGCTAGTTAAGAAAAGAATTCATATAATCATATTAAATGCTTTACAGAATCCTTGTGAAAATTGAAGAGACAGACTATATACAGGATAAATTTCTAAGAATGAGTCTTAAAGATAAACATAGAAGTAAACTGCTGAAGAAATTTCTTCTACTATGATTAAGAATTTGATTTTATCTCAAACAGAAAAATGTTTCTATAGCTGTGGGCACTTGCCACCTCTTTTACGATGTTATAAACAAAATGCTTACTCTCACCCTTCCTAATGTAGTTCTGAATGTAAATTATGTATGAGTATATGACAAATCTAAACCTTATGAGAACCCGGTGTACACTTTTGTCTAAGAGTTTTAACTGTCTTAGCCTTTGCACAGAAGAAAAGCAAAGTAGGAGGAGGTTGGAGTAGATGTTACTTGAGGTATTAAGGATCCATAATACTTGTCTCAGGGAGTTTAATTGTTCCTTATTCAAATTTGAAATTAATGTTTTTCTTTTTGGTTCTACTTTTACCTATTTTTTAAAAATTTGACTGTATTTTTGAGGTTCACAGCAAAATTGAGCAGATACTATTTTCATATACTTTCTACCCCTTCCACCCTTGCCCAATATCAACACCTGGCTCTACAGTGATATATTTGTTACAATCCCTGAAGCTGCATGGACACATTAGTTCCAATTTATATATTAGAGTAGTAGTGTATACTAGTGTTTACTTTTGTACAGGTTTTGACAAATGTATAATGATACATGTTCATTATACTATTATACAGGATAGTTTTGCTGCCCTCAAAATCTTATTTCTTCCTGTTCATCCTTCCCTTTCCTGTAACCACTGGCAACCAGTGACATGCTTTGCCTTTTCAGTATGTTTGTAATCATATAGTAAGTGGCCTCTTCATGTTAGGCTCTTCCACTTAGCAATATATATTTAAGGTTTTACCATCTTTTGTGACTTGATAGCTCATCTCTTCTTAGTATTGACTAATGTTCCTTTGTTTAAATTTGCCAGTTTATCCATTCACCTACTGAAAGACATATTCCAAGTTTTAGCAAATATAAGTAAATATGCATATGCAGGTTTTTGTGTGGATGTAAACTTTCAGCTCACTGGGATAAATACCATGCTTGTATGGTATGAATATATTTAATATTCTAAGAAATTCACAAACTGTCCTCCAAAGTACATCGTTTTGCATTCCCACCAACAGTGAATGAGTATCTTTTACTCTACATCCTTGTCAGCCTTTGATGTTATCAGTAGCTTTGATTTTATCAAATATAGTAGTTGTGGTATCTCATTTTAATTTGCAATAAATTTCTTAATAACATGATGTTGAGCATATTTTCATATGCTTGTTTGCTATAGGTATACCTTCTTTGATGAGGTATCTGTTGAAGATCTTTTGCCTATTTTTTAATCAGGTGGTTTTCTGCTTGTTGGGTTTTAAGAGTTCTTTGCATATGTTAGACAGTAGTCCTTTCTCAGATGTATCTTTTAAAAATACTTTTCCTTATCTGTACTTATCATTTATTTGACAGTGTCATTGGCAGAGAAGTTTTTACTTTTAATGAAATCAGATTTACCAGTTTTTTCTTTCATGTATCATATTTTTGGTGTTGTTACTATCATATCCTCAGATCACCCAGATTTTCTGTGTTAAAACCCATACTTTATTATTTTGGTACCAGGAATTGAACTCAGGACCTTATGCTTGCTAGGCAGGTACATGTGCTACTGAGCTATATCTCCAGCCCCAGATTTTCTGTGTTATCTGCTAAGCATTTAAAAATTTTGTGTTTTGAACTGGGTGTGGTGGCCCATGCCTCTAATCCTAGCACTTGGAAGGCTGTAGCAGGCAAATCACTGCAAGTTTGAGACCAGCCTGAACTACATAGTGAGACTTGTCTCAAAAAACAAAACAAAAAAAATTAATAAATAAATTTTATGTGTGTGTTTTACAGTTAGGTATGTGATTCTTTTTGAGTTAATTTTTGTGAATGATGTAAGGTCTGTGACTAGATTTATTTGTAGTTCATTTCTAGCATGATTCATTGAAAAGACTTTGCTCCTTTGTCAAAGATGAGTTGACTATATTTATGAGGGTTTATTTCTGAGCTCTTTATTCTTTTTTGTTGTTCTATTTGTCTGTTCTTTTACTTATACCACATTATCTTCATTACTGTAGCTTTATAGTAAATTTCAAAGTTAGATGATGTCTGGTCACTGTTTTTTTAGTATTGTGTTATTTATTCTGGGTCTTTTGTCTCCATATGAATTTTATAATTAATTTTTCTATATCCACAAAGTAATTCACAGTGTGGGATTTCATTGAACATATAGATCAAGTTGAGAAGGACTGACATTTTAAAATATTAGGATTTCTTATTCATGAGCATGTAGTATCTGTAGTTTTTCTTCAAGTTTATTTGTCAGAATTTATGGATCTGTTTTCTTCATACAGATCTTACATGTATGTTGTTATATTTACAGTATTTTATTTTGGGGAGTGGTAATTAAGTAGTAATATGGTAATATGTTTTTAATTTTAACTTCAATTCTAGTTGTATAGTATTTAGGCAATTCACTTTGTATCTTAACCTTATATCATGCAACTTTGCTATAAGTACTAGTTCCATCAGTTTTTTTGTTGATTGTTTCAGATTTCCTACATGGGTGACCATATCATACCATCTGTGAACAAAGATAGTTTTACTATTGTTTCTTCATTTCTAATCTGTATACCTTTTCTTTCTTTTTCTTATCTTACTGCATTAGCTAGGTCTTCCAGTATGGTTTTGAAAAGCAGTGGTGAGAAGTAACTTCTTTACCTTGTTCTTATCTGTCCTTACCTTTTGGGTACTGAATCCTCTTAAATCTTGAGTTTTTCCCCAGGGTTTATGGTGAAACCACTTTATCCATCTTGGTATTTTCATCTTCATGAGACTTTTGCTTTAGCTTCTTAGTACTTTCTAGTAAACAGTTTCCTATGTGCCTTTCATCTTACCCTGTTTTGTTGAAAAGTCTCTACCTGTATCTACACTTCTATCTCTTTTGTCTTAAAGACTGACATTTTATTTGTTTTCAGAAGAATTTTAGAAATGATGAAAAATAAAAATATATATTGAATCCACTGTTTAACTACAAGTATTAGTTTAATTCTGTTGTTGTTGGACTCCCTGTACAATCATTTATGTATTTACCCTTTTGTTTTAATTATATTTATTTTGTGATTTTTCTCGTACTATATAGGACATGCTTAAAATCAGTCAATGCTATTTGGCTGTGTACATACCAGTTTTCTCTTCATAATGTCTGTAGTAGTTAACTGTTCAAACCTTAGGAACTAGTATTTTACTTCAGATTTCTTTCATATTGGTTGACTCAGGCCAACAACAAAGATTACACCCTACATTAGCAAATTTTGGTATGTTACTAATAGTACAGTGGTAGATAAATTCACAAGTAATAATTTTTGATCCTCCATTTTAGAAGTTTGGGAAGTTGATGAACAGATCAAGAAGCAACAGAAAACACTTGTGAGGAAAGGCACATCCATCTCCAAGAAAACTCTGATTAAGGAAAAAGTCATTGAATGTAAAAAAGTTGGAAAACTATTTCCTCTGAACTCAGACATTATTAATCCAAGACAAAGCTTCTATGAATGTGACTCACTTGATAAGGATTTGGAACAAAATTTAGACTTATTTGGTTATGAGAAAGGTTGTGTAAGAAAGAAAAATTTTGAATATAATGAGTTTGGGAAACCATTTTACCATTATTCCTCTTATGTCATAACTTCCTTAAAGTGTAATCGGTGTGGACAAGACTTCACTCATAAATTTGACCTCATTAGGCATGAGAAAATTCATGCTGGAGAAAAACCTTATGACTGTAAAGAATGTGGAAAAACCTTCAGCAGAAAAGAAAATCTTATTACACATCAGAAAATTCATACTGGGGAAAAACCTTACAAGTGTAATGAATGTGGAAAAGCTTTCATTCAAATGTCAAATCTCATTAGACACCAAAGAATTCATACTGGGGAGAAACCTTATGCGTGCAAGGATTGTTGGAAAGCTTTCAGTCAGAAATCAAATCTCATTGAACATGAGAGGATTCATACTGGAGAAAAACCCTATGAATGTAAGGAATGTGGTAAGTCCTTCAGCCAGAAGCAGAATCTTATTGAGCATGAGAAAATTCATACTGGGGAGAAACCTTATGCATGTAATGAGTGTGGTAGAGCTTTTTCTCGAATGTCATCTGTTACTCTACATATGAGAAGTCACACAGGGGAGAAGCCCTATAAATGTAATAAATGTGGAAAAGCTTTCTCCCAATGCTCAGTATTTATTATACATATGAGAAGTCATACAGGTGAGAAACCTTATGTATGTAGTGAATGTGGGAAAGCCTTCTCTCAAAGTTCATCTCTTACTGTACATATGAGAAATCATACAGCTGAGAAACCCTATGAATGTAATGAATGTGGAAAAGCTTTCAGCCGGAAGGAAAATCTTATTACACATCAGAAAATTCATACAGGAGAAAAACCTTATGAATGCCATGACTGTGGGAAAGCTTTTATTCAGATGTCAAACCTCATCAGACACCAGCGGATTCATACTGGTGAAAAACCCTATACCTGTACGGTATGTGGAAAAGCCTTTAGCCAGAAATCAAATCTTACTGAACATGAGAAAATTCATACTGGAGAAAAACCGTATCATTGTAATCAGTGTGGAAAAGCCTTCAGTCAGAGACAGAATCTTCTTGAACATGAAAAAATCCATACTGGCGAAAAACCATTTAAATGTAATGAATGTAGTAAAGCTTTCTCTCGAATCTCATCCCTTACTCTGCATGTAAGAAGTCACACAGGGGAGAAACCCTACGAATGTAATAAGTGTGGAAAAGCCTTCTCTCAATGCTCATTACTTATTATACATATGAGAAGCCATACTGGTGAGAAACCTTTTGAATGTAATGAGTGTGGAAAAGCATTTTCTCAAAGAGCATCCCTTTCTATACATAAGAGGAGTCATACAGGTGAGAAACACCATGTGTACTAAATGAAGGCAGGCCTTCTGTTGTATATTCAACCTATGATTTACTGAAAACATCGTGATGTAAGCTCAAAAAAACATTGAATAAGATTGTTTTGGAAAACCAGTAAAACTTTGTTGGGCATGTGTATGTAAGACTTGAGTAAATAAACTATATATATTAATGGTAAACCCAATATCATAAAATTGTCCATTCTCAAAAAAACTATAGGTTGAATGCATTTCCACGTGATCAGCCTCAATTTTCTAGGGTCTTTCCAAAGTATTCTAAAATTCATGTGAAACAAGTCTATGGATTGCTGAGAATTTTGAAAAACAACAAAGGGGTCACCTTTAGTGTATACTATCCATATAGTTACAGTCATTAAAAAGTGTATAGTATTAGTGCATTATATAGGGTTAACATTTTTAAAGGATAAAGTTTTAAATAACAGACCCGTGAGTATATGTGAATTTGTTATATGTTAAATGTGCCATTTTAAGTTAGTAGGAAGTGATGGCCTAATAAATAACAATTTGTAGAATATTTTACTATATCCAGGGAAATAAAAGTATGTATGATCCTACAATTATAAAGAAATGATACTCCAAAGAATTTTAACACTGAAATATGACAAGTCAATGCCCGAAACCACTGGGGAAAGTCACAGGTTATTCTCTATAGAAATTCACAAATAATGTTTAAGATAGATAGGTGCATGCATACATACATACATATATACATACTAGACATTCATCAGTGGTTTAATGGATGAGTAATGTGTGATATATTCAAATGATGGAATTGTGAACCTCAGTTAAAAACAACTAGATCCAAGTTGTATACTGAAGATAGTTATCTAAAAGTGTTGAGTGAAAAAATAGATACAGATGAAACATATAATATTCATGTAAGTTGGAATGAAATCATTTACAAAAAACAAAAGTTTTTATTATTGAAATATCTGTGTATGCAAGACTAAAATGAGTTAGAAAGATACATGCCTCATTATTAATTGAGTTGTCTCTGGAAGGAAGGGAGTTGGGGATGTTAATTAAGGGTGACCTTTAGCTTTACATGTATTTTTTACACCTGTAAAAGACTGGCAGCATATAAAATAATTCCTAAAAGTTACTGATAACACAGTGGTAATATGATTGGGTTGTCTTAATAGTGTTTTTGTAGTAACTTCTCAGAATTAACAGGTCAAGGGAAGCCCATATTCATAGAAAGAAATGTTATAATGGATTCTTATGTTCTATCGGATGCTGAACTATTTTATTAAAATTATTTCCAGAAGATTCATAGTTTGAATATTGCTCATGATATATGAAGTTAGCATGTTTTATTAATTCCATGAATTGTTTACATTTTTACATTTAATTATTAAATTTTGAAAATCAGACATCAGTATAACAAATGAAGTGTGTTTGCATTTATTATTGTAGGGCCTAATGATCTGTTCATGGTCCCTGCCCTTTTAGTGTGTCTATTACTTAACAACAGACTTGTTAGGTTAATAGCTAACTACTTAGTCATGTGTTTAGAGTTATTGTGAAATGAATAAGACTTTCCTGAGAGGTGGACTTTGCAGTGTTAGTGTTCTTAGCCTATAAGTTTCCATACAAGAGCATAAACAATAATGACACAGTTAATTATTTCCTTGAAGCAGTCATAAGTAATTTTGTAAAATTGCTTATTCATAACATATAGAACCATATTGCCACTCCCACAATTCTTGACTTATATATTGTCTGTAGTTTGGTTGGAAGCAATGATCTCAGATTCTGAACAATAATTAATAACATTCCTCCAAAAGGATCTTATTCTCTATAACATATTTAAGCCTACCCTAAGATACAAAGATTGAGGATGGTAGATTAAGTAAAACTTTTAACTTTTATTTACAAGTATCGGTTGCATTTGTTTGAAGTTTATTTTATAAAAATAAATCTGCAAATAAAAATTGTGAAGTACAACCATGATTATGTGAATGTTGGTGATTATTAGATATTTTTGGAGATGAACCATGATGATATATATAGCAAGGAATTAATTTTAATGAAAACATTAACAGCTTAATATATCAAATGAATTTTGTCATTTCATATAAACCTAATATTGTCTGCATATGATATCTGCAAACTGTTTTTAGTTTTTTAATTTCATGCATTATCTGCACAAGAATTTCTATGTAAATATTTTCATAGTTGAGAGACACTAATTTTTGTCTAAACTGTTGTTTTTCCTCGATGATTTTCTCCTTATTTTTTCTCTCTATACTTCTTGTGCCTTAAATCTTCTGTCTCTTTCTTTACATGACTTTGGTGTCATTAGAGAAATTTAAAATTTCAATTAAGGCTCAAAGCCTAACAACCTCTTTAGGCTCTTCTTTTGGCCTCTCCCTCATTCCGTAAGACTAGATGAGTTTATCATGTGAGAGAAAATGCTTGTGGAGAAACTGCATCTAAAGTCTTAAGAAAGGTGTTTTACTAATTTCATGTCAGCAAGCAAGTGACCTGGTCTCTATAAATTTATATTCCCCCTGTCTTAAAGGATAGAAATAACAATACAGATATAATTGTCTGTGGTAAAGTTTAAAAGAACATTAATCAAATCATGGCAAATCCCTCTTTATCTGAACACACATGAACTGCTATTGGAACATTTCTATTCTAGATTTCAAACTTCATAAGGTACAATTCCTGTGAGTGACCTTGGGACACCCAGAATAAAATATATTAGCAGTTGCTTGAATTAGCAGCAATAGAAATTAATAGATTTGAGATGTATTTTGGAGGTAATTCAATAGAATTTTCTCAAATAAGAAGAAGAAAAAGGTAAAGAATAACTCCTTGTTATAGCAAGTAAATGGCTGGACGGTGGAATATTTGCTTAACATGTGGCAGACTAGGGAGAAACATTTTAGGGTAAAGGTTGACAGATGGAATCAAAATCTGTTACAGACTTTTCAGTTGTATATCCCAAAAGCATACCTTGGGATAAAAATTCCTATACAAATAATTTAATGAGGAAATGCTTTCGGTATGAAGGTTGAGAACATGGAGGAAGCTGGACAGAAAAGGGGAATGAGTCAAGGGTATTCGGTTAGGCAGCATCCTGCCATGAGTCATTTCAGATTGATCTTAGGGAAGCTTTGAAATGTGAGCTATATTTCAGAGTTGATAAAATTCTACCTTTGGTACCAAAGCACTTGTGCTTCCAGTTGCTAAGAATCTTGACTGCTGACAACTCACAATTAAGTTCATCTACCAGAATCATTCTTGAATGAAGAGTTGCCTTATGCAAGTTTACCCTGTTCCTTGAGGACAGCCTAGACCCCTTTGCCTCAATTTATAATGACTCTGAAGAGGAATCCCAGGTTTAGAGCTCTCTGAGGAATTACAACTTTTGGCAATTCAGTTTCTCCTTCATCAATTCTACTTCCCTTGTATCTTAAAACTGGTGATATTCCCAAGAGCTTTCCTCAGTAAACCTCAGCATTAAATTTTCATCTTAGATTTTGTCTGCCACAAAACCTAATCTAAGGCCGTGGAACATTTTGCAACAGGCACTATTCTCAAATTAGAATTTTTTAAAAATGTATTTGAAAACTAATGACAGTTTTCTTTACATGTTAATATAAATAATATTTTGTGAAAAATAACTTCTAAAAACATGTAAGAAAGGTATTGTGCCATTTTACAAATTTTTTTTATTTTAAAAATGAAAACATTAACAGACAGACAACCTTTTACAAAATAGCAAAAGAACAGTACAGACAACACGGAGTTACCAACAAAGCGGTAGGAAATTAACAATGCTTGTTGTATTACATATTGGTATCTTCAAAGTCATTTCTCATGAAAACAAATAGAGACGTGCATGGAAGATAGCTGGGTTCCCATATCTCCTATATGCAGTCTGTAGCAATGTAACTTTCACATAGATTGGGACAACTCTGTATACTCATGAAAGAATCAGAATTAAAAAGAAAAAGAAAATCTTGACATTGTTTTGAAGATAGTTCGGACCTCGGGGACCTATAGATATTCCCTGACTACTCTTTAAAAATCCTATTTTGACACCTCACTTACTCTCAAAAACTCAATGTCATGGACTAAAGAGGTATGTAGGGAGAGGTACTGAGGGGAGGTACTGGCATGCAGCTAATAAATGTGGCCTAAGATGGAGAACTTGAGAACCAAAAAGGAATGGTGGGTAAAGAAAATGTTAGAATAAGTAAGTAAACAGAAACAAACATTGACAATAAAAAAGAGCAAAATGGGCTTATAGACTTAAAAAAAAATTGAAGTACTGGAAGATTAATATAATTCAGAGGTTGAAATAGATTTGACTTAAAAGTATTTTGTATCTCTTCATTGTTAAAGATAGGGCTAATGTTTGGAGATAAAGATTTTATAGGATGTGAAAGACCAAAAATAAGTATTTTTTATTGTAAAGAGAGGAAAAAAAATGATACAAAATTTCAAAACAAGATGATAGGCATTAATAGTAGCTGTTATATTGCGTATTGTTATCTTCAGAGTAGTTGCTCAGATAACAAGATACAGGCTTACAAAATTGATCAAACAATATAAGCACTAACTTTCAGTAAACTAACAGAAATTAGTAGTACAGTTATCTTAGCTATTTTGTGTATATATACATATCTTTCCTTTTTTTCCCTTCTTTTCTCTTTTCCCCCATTCCAGTTGTTCTTTCCTTTTGAGCAGTTTCTTTTCCATTCACTATATCTATTGTACCTTTTGGATCTTATGTACTCTTTCAGTTTCTTACACTAGGGAGACAGTACAATATTTACACATGTGAGTCTGGCTTATTTCACTTATGAGTATGTTCTCTAGTTGCATCCATTTACCTATAAAAGCCTTGAGTTTATCTTTCTTTATCACTGAGTAGTGCTCCATTGTATAAAAATACCACATCATTTTTTATCCATTCCTCGGTTGTGGACATTTAGGTTGTTTCCAAGATCTGGGTATTACAAATTGCTTTGCATAAACATGGGTGCACATATATTGCTGCAGTATGATGTTTTCATTTCTTCTGGGAAAATACCCGGAAGGGGAATAGCTGGGTCAAATGGGACCTTTAATCCTAGTTTTTTGAGGAATCTCCACACTGATTTCCACAGTGGTTGTACCAGTCTACACTCTACCAACAATGGAGAAGGGTTTCTTTTTCCCCATAGCCCCACCAGCACTTGTTGTTGATTAATTTCTTGATGATAGCCCTTCTTTCTGGAGTGAGATGAAAAATAAGTATCTTAAAATAACTGATTTTACTGTCCTGTCAATTATTGGCATACAAGTTAGACAGTCCAGGACTGATATAAACCTTCTTTATTTTCCATCACCTCTATCTAGTGTGGTAGCCTTATTCAAGATGACCATAGGTGTGGGCTGGGAACATGGCTCAGTGGCATAAGTGCCTGCCTGGCAAGCACAAGGTCCTGAGTTTGATTCCCAGTACCACAAAAGAAAAAAAAAAAAAATAAGATGACCATAGGTGGCATTCCATCACATTTATGTCACAATGCACCGAGTAGAGGATGGAACAGAAAGGCACGTGATTTACTTTAAGGACAAGTATCTAATGTTATACATATTGCATTCCTTCATACCCTATTAGCTAGAATTCAATAGTGTAGCTAAGTGCAGACCTAGCTGGGAAATTTAAAAGATTTACGATATCCAGAACTGATGGTGCAAGTAAATGAGTCTATATTCATTACTAGTGGAAGATGTGAAATAGGACTTTTATAACACTTTTTTTGTAAATTAAACATTGAATAACTTTTTAAAAATCCAAACTTTCTGGTTTCAGCTCTTGCCTTTAAAGGCCTTAGAAAGCATCATTCTTTGTTACACAAAAGGAAAAGTAGCCTTTTCTTAGACCCATCAGAGAACTGTAGAGGCCAGAAGTCTGAAATCAAGAGGTTAGCCGCATGGTCATGCTCTCACCAAAGGCTATGGGGGAGATTCTTTGTTTTCTCCAGCTTCTTTTGGTCCCGTATGTTGCTTGGCATCCAGCCACATTGTTCTAATCTGCCTCCACAGTTACACTACCTCCTCCTTTTCTTTGTATGTCCTCCCTCTATCTCATAAGTTCAAGTCAATTCAATTCTTGTCACTCAATTTAGGGACCACCTAAATAATCCAGAACCATCTCTTCTTGAGACCCTTAATTTCAACAGCAAAGTTCCCTTTTCCAAGTAAGATCACATTTGTAGGTTCCTGATGCTAGGATATGGACAAATCATTTGGGAGACTACCAGCCACCGTAGATGGAGATGACATCAGACTGGTACGAAAAATGATGTTTATTTTGCAAAAAGATGAAATTCAATTCCTATTTCCTGGGGAAAAAATAGGGTATTAGTTAACATTGAGGTATGGAAGTATTTTTTAAACAAAACACACCAAGTTTATTTTAAAAGAAAGAAATAATATTTTGGCCATTTAAAGTGCCCATTCAGCCTGTAACCTGAGTAATTGAAAGGCTGAGGCAGGAGGATTACTGTGAGTTCAAGGCCAACCTATGCTATATAAGTGAGTTCAAGGCCAGCCTGAACTGCATTGTGAGACCCTGTCTCAATAAATAAATAAAGAGGGCCAAGGATATAGCTCCGCAGTGCAGTGCCTTCCTGGTAAGCATGAGGTCCTGAATTTGATTCCTGGTATGAAAAAATAAATAAAGTGGCCATTCTGAGCTGCATATGGTGGCACATTTACATAGAGTATGGAAGTCACATAGGGAAAAGGGAGAGGGCAAAATCATGCCACAGATCTTGAAGCCTTTAAAGATTCTACTCTGAACTGGTACACATCACTTTTACATTGCATTGGCTAGAGCAGTTTGCATTGCCATACCTGATGTCAATAGGCACTCAGTAGGGACAGAAGAGTGTGGTTAAAAATGTTACAGTATCACATTT